GACTAAGCTAGGGATCCCCATTCTCTTTCTCATGGTCCTTCTTTCCAGGGTGTCTCCAAGCCCAGCTGTTCCCGTATATGGTCTCTCTCCACTGGTATAGCCTAGACTTCATTACAGCAATGTAGTTGGGCTCCAAGAGGGTTTATTCCAGAGAACAAGCCTGATGTACAACTATGTATCCAGCCTCTGCTTGTTTCATACCTGCCAATTAGCAGAGTAATATAGCAAATGTGGGAGGAGACTACACAAGGGGTTCGTTGGGGACCCTATTGTACCTATCTCAAAGCACCAATTTCTTTGCTTACTTTTCTGGGGACCATGAAACTCTGCAGGGAGAGAAACTGTCAGACCTTGTGACTTAAAGAGTCTCTTGGTCAGCAGAAACAACATGTGACCAACCATGAATATAGAATTAAGTGAAAGAGTATTTTAGAATATGTGTTGCTATATAGACTTATCGCTTGTGGCTCCCACACACAAAAAAAAAAGAAGAAGAAGAAGAAGAAGAACCAGTGAATCTGGGTGCGGTGGCGCATGCCTGTAATCCCAGTAGCTCCAGAGGCTGAGGCAAGAGAATCACTAGTACAAAGTCAATCAGCAACTTACCAAGGCTCTAAGCAACTCAATGAGACCCTGTCTCTAAATACAAAAAAGGGCTGGGGATGTTGCTCAGTGGTCAAGTGCCCTTGAGTTCAATCTCCAGTACCAAAAAAAAAAAAAGAAAAAGAAAAAGAAGTCAGTGAAGCTAGGGACAGTGGCACACACCTGTAACCCCAGCAACTTGGAAGGCTGAGGCAGCCTCAGCAATCTAGAAAGGCCCTAAGCGACTTAGCAAGATCCTGTCTCAAAAAACAAAAGGGCTTGGAATGTAGCTCAGTAGTAAAGCACCCCTGGGTTAAATTCCCAGTACCAAATAATAATAATAATAACAACAACAGCAACAATATTAATATTAATAATCCGCAGAAATATAAACCCAAAATTTAATCAGAAAGTTTTAAGTTACAGTCTGGAAGAAAGTGGGTGTGCCTAATGGAAACTTGCCTTCAGAAATGCTTTTCTGTCCTGCTTGTTTCCTACCATTAATGCAGTTTCCACTTTAACACATTTGTGCCTTTATTCCTTCAGTAAATGTTAGCGATGTCACAGGCATCACTTTATATGCTAAGGTTAGTGCTAGGTCCTATTCCATCTCTCATCTTCTACCTGGACTCTGATGATGGCCCAATAGCTAGCTGGTCTCTCTACTCCAACTGCTTGAACTCCAACATGTTTGTCCCAAAACACAAATCTCCCACCGATTTGGTATCAGCTTTAATATTCTCTGACCCTATAAAATCTAAACCTCTAGAGAGGCTTTCAAGGCTACTCAGAACCTAACTCTCACCTACTTTTTATTAAAGGTATTTTTTAAATAAAAGACAAAATCATGACTCTCATGTAAATATAAAATGAACACACATTGAATATTTTACTCAGCTCATTAATTAATGAGGAACCAATAAGATATTTAAAACACAGTTTACATGGTATCCACAACACAAGACAATATACGCACTGAGGAATGCTGAGATGAATTTGTTAATAAATTCAAAGGTACAAGCTTTGACAGGTAGGGCTGGAGGTTGGGGGAAGCGGGAAATATACTGCATTCACTTAACATTTTCTTTTCTAGAGACAAGAATCTTTTGCATTATCAACTTGCGAGTGGCAAATGCTCAAAATTACAGACCACTATGGAAAAGTGCACTGGACAATCCCTAGTATACTACAGGACATCTCTCAGTAATATTTTCTCTTTTTTGTTTGCTTTTTGTTGGATTTTGTGGGGTTGCAGGAGGAGGGTTTGGCCCTTTCAAAGTCTCAAAGGTGTTTTTTTTAATTCATATATGACAGCAGAATGCATTCCAATTCATATTACACATATAGAGCACAAATTTTTCATATCTATGGTTGTATACAAAGTATATTCGCACCAATTCGTGTCTTCAAACATGCGCTTTGGATAATGATGTCCATCACATTCCACCATCATTTCTGACCCCAAGCCCCCTCCCTTCCCCTCCCACCCCTCTGCCCTATCTATGTTTTCTCTGATATAAGGAGGCTGATTCATAATGGGGTAGGGAGGGGGAGCATGGGAGGAATAAACAAACTCTCTGAGGTTTTGTTGACACTTCCCAACCTAGCCTTCATCAATACCTCCAGCCCTCCACCCTATGCTTTAATCACACTGTGCTACTCACAGTTGCCTAGGAAAGCCCCAATTACTCCTGGCCACTTTCTGTACCTTCTGCATGGAATGGACCTCCTCTTTATTTGGAGATCTGCTACCCATCATTCTTTCAATTTGTTCAGCAAATATCTCCTTCTATGCCAACCATGGACCAAGTAGTGAGAATTCAAATGTGAAGACAATAGACTAGGTGTCAGACCTCAATAGGAAACTTGTACTTTGGGTGGTGTTTTTGACCTTGAATCATTCAGACTTTGGGAAATACACTGATGTCTGCTCACTGTGTGACAGTGAGTTAGATGGGCTTTCCCTCATAGTGCATGGACATTTCACTGTTGATCATGCAGAATGAAAGAGGATCCATCAAAGGAAACTGAGAAGGAATATTTAGTGAGGGAAGGAAACCATGAGAGACCAGACAAGGCAATTAGAAGAACAGCAACAGTGCCACCACCATGGTGAGATCCAGTAAGAATACAAATTAAATACTCCCATTTGTTTTAGAAACCACCTTTTGCAGAGTGTTTCAATGGAAAATTGGAAACAGAAGCTACGTTACTGCAGACTGTCACATAAAACTTGGAGATACAGAATTGCAAAGCTCAAATATAGTTTTTTTTTTCTTTTGAAGGACTAGGGATTCTATTATGAAGGTAGGTAGGAAGGAAGAAAGCTGGAAAGAGAAAGTGTAGGTATACCTAAGTCTTCCTCGAAAGAAGAGTCTCATATATGTAATGCAGAAAAAGCACTAAACTTGGAGTTAAAAACTTATACTCAAACCCTAGCTATGAAATTTATAACTTATTACATAATCTCCTTGGATCTTAGTTTTCTCATCTGCAAAGGGGAAATAGTAATACCTCAAAATATCATCCAATGATACAATCTCTATGAACAAACATAGTAAAAAACAAAAAGAAAAGAAAAAAACCTAGAACATAAGAAAATATAGGGTCAACACTCCAACATATAGGCATAGGCAATAACTTTCTCCACAAGACTCCTAAAACTCAGGAAGTAAAACCAAGATTAATAAATGGGATAGCGTCCAATTTTTTCAAACTTCTGCACAGCAAAGGAAACAAGAGCATGAAGAGAGAGCCTACGGAATGGGAGAAAACATTTGCCAGTTACTTTTTTGACAGAGGATTAATATCCAGAATATATAGAGAATTTAAAAAACCCCAATCAATAAATGAGCAAAGAACTAAAAAGACATTTCTCCAAGAAATACAAATTGCCAACAGATACATGAAAAAATATTCACCACCTTTAGCAATTAAGGAAATGCAAATCAAAATTACCTTGAGAGGGCTGGGTTTGTGGCTCAATAGTAGAGCGCTTGCCTAGCGTGCATGAGGCACTGGGTTCGATCCTCAGCACCACCAAAAAATAAATAAATAAATAAGCAAAATATAGGTAAAAAAACTTACACTGATATTCCATCTCACTCCAGTTAGAATGGCAATCACCAAGAATACAAATAATACCAAATGCTGGAGAGGATGTAAGGGAAGAGAAACTCTTGTACACTATTGGTAGGACTGTAAATTGGCATAACCTATGAAAATCACTATGGAGTTTCCTCAAAAGAGTAGGACTGGAAACTCCCAACTCCTCAGTATTTACCCAAAAGAACCAAAGTCATCATACTATAATGATACACATATATCCATGTTTATAGCAGTGAGAAGGAATATTTAGTGAGGGAAGGAAACCAGCCTAGGTGTCCATCAATGGATGAATGGATAAAGAAAATATGGTTTATAACCACAATGGAGTTTTACCCAGCCATAAAGAACAAAGTTATGCCATTTACTGGTAAACAGATAGAACTGAAGAACATCATGCTAAGTTAAAAAAGACAGACTCAAAGTCAAGAGTCATATGTTTTCTCTCATACTTGAAAGCTAGAGAGAAAAAAAAAAGGATTTAAAAAGGGATCTCATGAAAATAGAAGAAAGGCCAGTAAATCAAGGAAGGCAATCAAGGGTAGGGAAGAAGAAAGAGGAAAGGGAGGTACTGGGGAACTAAATCAACCAAATTATGTTTTGTGCATACATGAATCTGTAACAATGAATCCCATCTTATGTAATTACAATGCACCAATTTAAAAGCACATATTATGGGCCAATGTGTGTTATTTTAAACTTCAGAGAGACAAACTATTCGGAGTAATCACGGTAACAATCTTGACAAATTCCTATGATAATCATTGGCCATTGAGGTCTGGTTTTGGTGGGTTTTGTTGTTTCATTTCAATTTTGCTATTTTTGCTTGTTTTTCACTTTTGCCTGAGCAGAGTTCCAGAGTGGAAAGCAAGAGGCCTGTCCAAATGCTCTGTACACCCTGTTAATAAGAATTTCATGTCAAGAGTTCTCTTCTAATAAGGACCTAAGAGATTATCTTGATTTGCTTTGATTTGCTGTGTTGAAGAACAAGGCCCAGAAAAAGGACAAGCCTTATGGCTAGACACAGTGGATCCTAGAACAAGCTCTAGAAGCCAGGTCTTCCGAAAATGTTCCCTGTCCTTTCTACAATATTAATTAGACCCCAGAAGTGGAGTCTAATTAATATTGGAGACAAATGGGAAACATGCCATGCTTTTATCATGGCAAAGCAACAGAACACTGAAGCAACTTGAAGGAGAATTGGTACAAACCCTAGGCCTCCTACAACCAACCGTCCCACCCGCTGCCTTTTCCCAAACCTTTCACTCTCATATGCGTGTGTGTGTGCGCACACACACACACACACACCAGGAGGACTAACTGCTTGGAACAGATGACATTGCATTAGGTTTCCTTTTCTGTCCTAAAGAGGGGAAACCCTTTCTCTTCTCTAGACAGCATCCTAATTTGTCTCCACTTAGCCAGTAGCTCAAGACAAGAGCTTTTGAAATTAATGATGCTTTTCTAAGAGTAATTGCTTCTGCTCTAATCACATGCTATTTCTTGCTACCCATGGGGCTCAGTATTAGGATTGCCTAAAGGAATAATCAGCAAATTGCCCAAAATGCACTGCTTTCAAGCCTCCAAGGTGCCTAATAAATGATGATGAGTCACTCCAAGCCAGGTAGCCACTTCACACCATTTATAAAGTGAGCTTGCCTGTCAGTATGCTTCTTGGAGGCAAATCCAACCATGGGGCTGGGGGTAGTAGGAGCTCACATTTAAAAAAAAAAACTTTCCAGCTGCTTTTTTCTTTTCAATGAGATGGAATTCACATAACTTACAATTAATCATTTCTAAGTATACAATTCAGGGTGGTTAGTGTTTTCACAATATTGTATAACCACCAGTTTCTCTAGTTTCAGAACTTTTTAATCACCCATGAAAACACCCATTAAGTAGTCACTCCTCAATTTCCCTTACTCCTCCTATCCCCTGGTGCCCTCTGATATACTTCCTGCTTTATGGATTTGCCTATTCTGGATATGTCCTATAAAAGGAATCACAATATGAGACCATTCAGGGTGGTTAGTGTTTAATGTTTTCAAGTTCCATGAGTTATAGCAGTAATCATTACTTCATTCCTTCATTTTATTATTGAATAAATTCCATTGTATGGATATACCACAATTTCTTTCATCCACTGATGGACATTTGAATTGTTCTCATCAATTGTGAGTAGCCAAACGAACTAGACTAGAACTGGACTACAACAACTTCCAAGAAATCCCCAGTAAGAAAGAACAAAATATTCTTAAGATAAAATGATTCTGATTTTTGCTGTTTTGATGATTTTATTGAAATTACCTTAGCACAGTATTAGCACAGTATTAAAATGCCTTAGCACATACACTAGTCCCCTGGCCCACTTATCCAGGAGTTGCATTCCAAGACCCTCAGTAGATGCCTGAAACCATGGTGTTTTAGTTAGCCTTTTTGCTGCTGAGACTGAAAGACCCAACCAGAAAAGTTGTAGATGAGGAAAAGTTTATTTGAGGGCTCACAGTTTCAGAGGTCTTATTCCATAGAAGGACAGCTCCGTTCCCAGGGCCCGAGATGAGGCAGAACATCATGGCGGAAAAGTATGGCAGAGGGACAGGGCTCACACGATCTTCAGGAAGCAGAGAGAGAGAGTCACAACCAACCAGATACACCCCAAAGCCACGCCCCCAATGCCCTACCTCCTCCAGCCACACCCTACCAGTCTTCAGTTACCATTTCAGTTACCAGTTAATCCCTATCACATGATCTCTTGGGGGATACCTCACATCCAAACCATAATACATGGAGAGTATCAAGCCCTATGTATACTATGTTCTTTCTTATACATATTGTGACCACAACTTTTACAGTTCAAGGTATAATGACAAAACTAGCATGAATTTTTTTCTCCTTCACAATTTCATAGGTAGAAGACTCATTGCTACCCTAGATCTTAACAACTTCAGCATGCGAACTTTTTCCTTCCATATTAAGTCAAAACTTAAACCTTTTCACTTAAAGGAAGCACTTTCTGGCTTCTCTTGGGCATATCCAAATTTCCAGCAATTATTCCTCTTCCACTTTGGGTCCATTATTAAGTACAATAAAGGTTATTTGAACACAAGCACTATGATACCACATGGTAGATCTGATAACTAATACAGCTACTAAGTGCCTAACAGGTGGGTAGGATATACATTGTGGATGTGCTGGACAAAGGGATGAGTCATGTTCCAGGCAGGTTGGAGCAAGATAATACAAGATTTTATCATACCACTCATAATGGTTTGCAATTTAAAATTTATGAGTTGTTTATTTCTGAATTTTCCATTTTATATTTGGGGACCATAGTTGCTCACCAGTAACTGAAGCCACAGATAAGGAGGGACACACCACAATATCACTATTCCCATGTGTTTTTTACTTACACTATGGTATAATGTGAACAACAGTAAGTTGACTGATATAACTTAAGTGTGGTGTTCAATGACTCTCATATGGTCATATTCCTCTGATTCCTTATATGACTAGATAGAGAGTGAGCCTCTCTGGATTCAGCAGAGCTCTACATGACCAGAAAAAGTGATTGGTTTCACCACTTTCAGACCATGAGTAGTAACAGATGGGGGAACACTGGAATCCATTGTTTGCAAAGGATCTTTTCAACTGCATTAGATGCAACCCACAAATCTCCTTAAAACTTGGCCCTTCATTAGGGCTAAATTCAGCCTAAGTCACAAATGTGTATAAAATAATTTAAAATATAAAAGCAATATTAAGGGGCTTGGGTTGTGGCTTAGTGGCAGAGCACTTGCCTAGCATGTATGAGGCACTGGGTTTGATGCTCAGTACGACATATAAATAAATAAAAGGTCCATTGGCAACTAAAAAAAGTGTTTTTTTAAAAAAAGCAATATTAAGTAATAATAAAACAGTAAATTATCAAGCCAGCAAAAGAATGCAAATTTTAAACCACATTTTCTGTCTGAGGATCACAATTTTTAAATTTAGCTCAGTATATTCTTAGACTTTACTAATCTCAAAGCAAAATGTTTATCTGTAAATGAACTTGTTTTAGCCTGTTCTGTATTTAGTCTGAAAATAATGTCAAGATGTCTTCAAGAGCATGTAAAAATTACATTTACATTTTTCTAAGGGAGGAAATTCAAACACAGATTTCATATATTCACAAAAGTAATAAATAGTACAAAGCTTCAAAAAAAGCCTCCTTTCACCATGCTAAACCCCTCTGTAGATACAAACTGTTACCTGTACTGCTATATTGTAATGAGTATCATCCTAAAATAAAATTCTTACATGAAACCTCTTTCAATGTGAAATAAAATATACCAATTCTGTAATAATATTTCAATGTTATTTGCTAGCTTCAACTTTAACCTCTTACCGTTAAGAGCTTAAAACCCTAAATGCTATTCAAACTTGTTTAATCAGCAGCTTTGATTTTCAACTTACAAAATTTAGATTAGAAAGTGTGTTCTCTCCCTTTTTTAAGATTCAGCAGAATGGAGATTCCGGATCCCCATCTCTCTTTTTGATCTGAATTGTTCAGGTTGCCTGTGCAGCTAAGGTGCTTATGAAGTTCAGCCCTTCTCTTCAGTATGGCAACTCACTTAGGAAAATGTTTTAAACTGCAGCTTGGGGGCAACGTAAGCCTTAGAAAGTTTTTGTCCATCATCACCTCTGGCAATTTTTGGAACATTTTTCTGATTGTTTACTTTGTCCTTTTTTCTTAACACTCTTCTACCCATGTATCCCAAATAAAAACTGTAGTTAAATCAATTTACCTGTGTTGCTTTGGAACACAAAAGACAAAAACATTAATATGAATGAGTAAACAAATACATAGTGTTTGAATGTATATTTGGACACAGTCATAACAAACTCATTTATTTCTTATCTCAAAAAGCAGAATAAAGGGGGCTGGGGCTTAGCGGTAAAGCGCTCGTCTAGCATATGTGAGGCGCTGGGTTCAATCCTCAGCACCACATAAAAACAAATAATTAAAATAAAGATCTAGTCTTTGTTTCAAAGGAAACCCACAACAAAATCATTGAGGGAAAAAAATAAAGGGTAGAAGCTGCATACTCTATGTAATAAAGAACAAACTGGAAGGATATATTAGAATGCATGTCAAAAAAACTAGAAAATACAGTACATCTTCTAACTTCAATCTGTAACTCATTAAAGTAATCAAAATTTTTTCATCAAAAAATCTAAACAAAATAATTTTTAAATTGCTCATCCATATGATGATGAGCTTAAAAAATGGTGTTATTGCTGGACATAACTTTAATTAAAACAGAAATTCAAGTAAGTGTGGGTAGTTATTACATGTTTTCAGAAGTGCTAGTTAAAAAGTTGTGGTGATATCCCTGTTATACTAGAGAAATTTGTAAAACTTCATTTAATTAGAATTACATCGTCCTTGATTAGTCTAACGTAACAGAAAAGAAATAGGTCAATGGCTATTTTTAGCTAAATAAAATTTGGTTCAAATTAAGCAAAATAACTAACCTAGTTTATTCCAACCCTGAAAATCAGTATTCATGATTTTTACATGATTTTTTGCAAGGTATTATGTGATTTCTTAATGTTCACTCAAAAGAAATGTTCTAATTTCATATATGCCTTTACCCAAATAGTCATAACATTATTATTACATGTAAACAACCAAAGTGCTGTAATAGGAAGCAATCTTTAGCAATATTTATTAAATATGTAAGTTTACTAATCCATTTTTCATTACTATAGCAAGATGCCTGAGACCAGCTAACTTTATGAAGAAAAGAGGTTTTAAGCTCCATTTGGGGAGTTGAAAGTCCAAACAGCACAGTGCCAACTCTGGCAAAAGCTCCATAGTAAATAGCAGAATATTTGAGGGAGGAAGAACAGATCACATCACCAAAACAAGAAGTCAGAGAAGGACTCAGGGTCAAGACCACTTTCCATGACAGCTTCCTTAATCCCTTGGGAGCACAGCTCCCCCAGTAACCTAAGGACCACCCACTCAGCTCCACCTCTTAAAGATCCCACCACCTTCCAACATTACCACACTGGAGACCAAGTTCCCACCCAACACATGTACCTTTTAGGAACACACTCAAACCATATCCAAACCATACCAGTAAGTTATGAATTTCCAAAGTGGGTATTATTACAGAAGGAAATTATATAAAATAATATAATTGTGCATCAAAATACCACAAGAATAAAGGTAAAAGATACCTGTCACAACAAGTCAAAGCCAGCCAAGCATGGTGGCACACACCTATAATCCCAACAACTCAGGAGGCTGAAGCAGGAGGATGGCAACTTCAAGGCCAGCCTCATCAACCTACTGAGAACCTACAAAAAAAAAAAAACCATATATATATATATACACACACACATATATTTTTTAATACAAAAAAAGCCCCTTTTTAAAGGGGGCTAAAGACATAGGTTAGCGGATTACAATGGTTGCTTCGCATACATGAGGGCCTGAGTTCAATCCCCAAAACTGCAAAACAAGTCAAAACCATACAGATATTTCTTATTTAAGACATGTTCAATTATAAACAAAGTAAATATTTCTCTACCTACTGTGTCCTAAAACCATAAAGATATATATATCTAAGGTTCAAAATAGATCTGATGCTCAAACATTCATCATTTTATGTTTTATTGCGTTCCAAAGTTAATTTTTTTTTTAATTCAGAATATCGTGTTCTAGAGCTACATGGAGACATGGCTAAACAAGAAATCTATAAGAAACAGATTTGGTGTCATGTGCTCTTTGGATTGCCTCAGCCAAAATCATTAGAACATCAAAATAACTGGAATCTTAAAGCAGTGTATCATTTTGTCCTTTTGGGGAATGGTGTTTGTAACACTGACAATCTCAGAGACAGCAATATTAATTCTGCAAACAGCTGGCCCAGAGAAGTTCCCATGAGTAAAAATGGCATTAACCCTAGTGACTCCAGCATAGAGTAGCTTGTCTGCAGCATGAAGTATTGTGCCATATGCATTAGGCATGTCATCAGTGAGGATAGCCATCAATGTTTTTGTTGTTGTTTATTTAGTTTTTTTATGTGGTGCTGGGGATCAAACCCAGTGCCTCACGTATGCTAGGCAAACACCCTACCACTGAGCCACAACTCAGCCCACAACCATCAGTTGTCGACATCACCAACCAAAAACATCCTACCACCCGCCTTTGCACCCCCATGGCTCTCCTCTCTCAGCAAAGAAAGGCAAACTCCATGTTTGGTCTATCAATGAGTTATGGAGTCTTTTTAGATCCTCCTACTTCAGGTAAAACAGTGACATAGTTCCTATAGTCTACAATATTCTCTTGGATCCACATGTAAGTCATCCACAGGGACAGTGAAGAATCTCTGTACCTGAACAGCATGCAATCCATGGTAATGATGTGTTCCTCCTCAGTTACTGAAACAAATTGGCTAAAGTTTTGGAGTAACTGGATCATGACCCTTGTCCTTTTTAATTCATTGGGTATATGGAAAACATGGGAGTCCAGCCTTTGCTTTGGAGGACCATGTGGTTTTCACCCATCAATGATAATGAGAGGTTACGTCAAGATGTCATTCATTAGCAAAAACAATGCTAAGCAAGAAGTGTGAATCAGGCGGTATAGCGATACCAGACTTCAAACTATACTACAGAGCAATAGTAACAAAAACAGCATGGTACTGGTACCAAAACAGGTGGGTGGACCAATGGTACAGAATAGAGGACACAGAAACCAATCCACAAAACTACAACTATCTTATATTTGATAAAGGGGCTAAAAGCATGCAATGGAGGAAGGATAGCATCTTCAACAAATGGTGCTGGGAAAACTGGAAATCCATATGCAACAAAATGAAACTGAATCCCTTTCTCTCGCCATGCACAAAAGTGAATTCAAAATGGATCAAGGAGCTTGATATCAAATCAGAGACGCGCCGTCTGATAGAAGAAAAAGTTGGCTACGATCTACATTCGGTGGGGTCGGGCTCCAAATTCCTCAATAGGACACCCATAGCACAAAAGTTAATAACTAGAATCAACAAATGGGACTTACTCAAACTAAAAAGTTTTTTCTCAGCAAAAGAAACAATAAGAGAGGTAAATAGGGAGCCTACATCCTGGGAACAAATCTTTACTCCTCACACTTCAGATAGAGCCCTAATATCCAGAGTATACAAAGAACTCAAAAAATTAGACAATAAGAGAACAAACAACCCAATCAACAAATGGGCCAAGGACCTGAACAGACACTTCTCAGAGGAGGACATACAGTCAATCAACAAGTACATGAAAAAATGCTCAACATCTCTAGCTGTCAGAGAAATGCAAATCAAAACCACCCTAAGATACCATCTCACTCCAGTAAGATTGGCAGCCATTAGGAAGTCAAACAACAACAAGTGCTGGCGAGGATGTGGGGAAAAGGGTACACTTGTACATTGCTGGTGGGACTGCAGATTGGTGCAGCCAATTTGGAAAGCAGTATGGAGATTTCTTGGAAAGCTGGGAATGGAGCCACCATTTGACCCAGCTATTCCCCTTCTTGGTCTATTCCCTAAAGACCTAAAAAGAGCATGCTACAGGGACACTGCTACATCGATGTTCATAGCAGCACAGTTCACAATAGCAAGACTGTGGAACCAACCTAGATGCCCTTCAATAGACGAATGGATAAAAAAAATGTGGCATTTATACACAATGGAGTATTACTCTGCATTAAAAAATGACAAAATCATAGAATTTACAGGGAAATGGATGGCATTAGAGCAGATTATGCTAAGTGAAGCTAGCCAATCCCTAAAAAACAAATGCCAAATGTCTTCTTTGATATAAGGAAAGTAACTAAGAACAGAGTAGGGACGAAGAACAGGAGAAGAAGATTAATATTTAACAGGGATGAGAGGTGGGAGGGAAAGGGAGAGAGAAGGGAAATTGCACGGTAATGGAAGGAGACCCTCAGGGTTATACAGTGGAGGGGGTAGAGAGAGAGGAGGGGAGGGGAGGGGAGAGGTGGGGAGGGGGGAGGGTGGAGGATGGGAAAGGCAGCGGAGCACAACAGACACTAGTATGGCAATTTGTAAATCAATGGATGTGTAACTGATGTGAATCTGCAATCTGTGTATGGGGTGAAGGTGGGAGTTCATAACCCACTTGAATCAAAGTGTGGAATATGATATGTCAAGAAATTTGTAATGTTTTGAACAACCCACAATAAAAAATTAAAAAAAAAAAAAAAAAGATGTCATTCATTTTCACACAGCTGTTCTGTAGGATACAAACAGCTTCACCTCTCACACTCACCAATCACTATACTGACCCCCCCCACATTGCTGAACTTCTTAGAGACCACCTTGTGCAGCTCCAGCCCTAGCCTATTCACCACTTTGGGGGACAGATCTTGATGTGAACTGCTGCAAACAGTACCACATCAGCGATGGCAGGCTTGATAGAGCCATGGGATGCTCAAGGTGGTGGCAGTGGTAAGAGCAGGGAAAAAGCTGCCAGTAGGTACCATTGGAAGAGGAAGAGGAGGAGGAGGTTGAGAAGTGCTATGGCTGAGCTGGGGCAGGATCCCAGCTCTTGAGGAAATATTCTTAATTTTGCCACATGTTGCTTCACCTCTTTCACATTCATTCTTTTCCATGAGAACAAAGAAAAAGACTACAATACAAAAAAGGAAGTAACCCACCAAGATTTTAGTGTAGATTATAAAATCAGTACTACTAGAATTTTCAAGATTCCTGAAGACACTGTAATTCCCCACAATGTTATTCTGGTGGCTCCTTCCCTATGATTTGTAGGAAACTTTTAAAAAACAAAACAAGTTTGTATGCTTGTGCAGCACATGCATTAAGGACCTTGAGTTCCTCAAGAGCAACCTTGTGCCATTGCTGCCAGAGAGGCTGCAGACCATCTTACACTGAAAGCATCTCAGTGTTGTGCAATGAGGTGGGAGGGCAGTTCTGTTCCCAGCCAAGATCCCTTCCAGATGAGGTCTCTTCTTGCCACGGAAGACTACAGTTACAAAGCAGAAAAGGTTTACTAAGGTTGAAAGCAGGCACCAAAGTATCATACTGGACCACTTTCTAGTAAGGCAGATAAGAGCTACTCCCAGAAAAGCAAAAACAGAATGACTTCAATATATTGCAGCATATATTAAAAGAAACAATTGATTCCCATCAATTGATTTCCAAGGAGTAAACACCAACTTTTTGCAAACAATTGCAAAAGTGGAGTCAGAGACCTTGATACAAGGGCACCAAGTACTAAGATTAATCCCACTAGAATAAGAACCACATGGAACAAATGTAAGAGGAGTGACAGATTCTGGGCACAGAAGACTTGATATGAACACAAAGACTATTCTGTGGTCCATTGGCTGAGAAGTCTGCACTGGTCAGCATGCTTTCAGCATCAAAATACCAAAACAGAAAACCCCAATCCAAATTAGGTGAAATTATAAGAAAATCCATTGACCCACTAAACTGGAACACCAAATACAGAGTAGCTCCATCTCCATTTCTTTCACCACCTATCTGTCTTGGCTCCATCCTTAGACTGGTAAAGAGAGAGCGACAATCGCTCCTGGCCTTATCACACACACAGCAAAAGCCTGAGAGTGAACATCTCTTCCTGCAGATTTCTCTTAAGAGAAAATAAGCTTTTCCCAGTACTCCCCAACAAACTTCCCATATTGAGTCAGATGCTCATTTCTGATTCAACCACTAAAAAATATTAAGAGTACTATTATTGCCTCAAACAGTTTAGGCCCTTCCTTGGAGCCACAAAACCTTACCCACAGTATGTATGGCTCTGCCTCAGTGGTAGGAAAGCATGATGGATGGTAAGAAGATACTGTAAAGGATTCCCAACAGTATCTTGGGAGAAACTAGAAATCATGCTGGAACTCTATAAAATATCCTTAAGAGTTTAAAACTTACCTTTGTGCTAATTAGGACTTTTGAGTTACAAGTAACAGAAACATAATTCAAATCAGTTTAAGTAAAACATGGAACTGAATGGTCTTCAGCATCTAAGAAAATATTACCCTTTTCTAAGCCAACCTGAGAGAATATCCAGGGATGCAGCTGGGCCATGGTTGGAACAAGACCATGAGTGCTCAGGGCTCTCCCTTTATCACTTAACTTTGCTTCTTTCTGAATATATTTCTTTCCCAAGCAGACTGGCTTTTTTTACATAGCAGGAAACTTGGTTGATGGCAGCTCCTAAGATTTCTATCTTATAGCTTCAGCTACTGGAGAGAGACTGAATTCAAGCCTCTCTAGTCCCAAATTCAAAATTCCTTGGAAAGAGTTTCAGTGACTGAACTTCAGTTAGATGACAATGCCTTGACTAATCAACTAAAACCCAGGGCTTGCCAGTCACTCTACATTAACACAGCAACTTCTGTTTTAACTATATGGAGAGAGGAACTCTAGGAGAACAAATTTCAAGTGTCTACTACAACAGTTATGCTCAAGAACCAACTACATAGAACTCTCATTCCAAGGGGAGGGCCCCTTCATTTGCAAAAGTATTTCATAAAAACAACTCCACAAGCCAGGTGCAGTGGCACACACCTGTAATTCCAGAGGCTCAGAAGGCTGAGGCAGGAGGATCACGAGTTCAAAGCCAGCCTCAGCAAAAAGTGAGGCGCTAAACAACTCAGTGAGACCCTGTCTCTAACTAAAATACAAAATAGGGCGGGGATGTGGCTCAGTGGTCGAGTGCCCCTGAGTTCAAGCCCCAGTGCAGCAAAAAAGAAAAAAAAAACCCACAGAAAAAGGGTACATTCATACATTGTTGGTGGGACTGCAAATTGATGTAACCACTCTGGAAAGCAATATGGAGATTCCTCTAAAAACTAGGATTAGAACCATCATTTGACCCAGTTATTGCACTCCTAGGTTTATATCCAAAAGACTTAAAATCATCATACTACAGTGATACAGCCACATCACTGTTTATAGCAACAAAATTCATAATAGCCAAGCTATGGAATCAGCCTAGATGTCCTTCAACAGATGAATGCATAAATAAAATGTGGTATATATACACAATGGAATATTCCGCAGCCTTAAAGAAGAATGACTTTATGACATTCACTGGTAATGTATGGATCTGCAGACTTCATGCTAAGTGAAATAAGTGAAAAAAACAAAAGGTCAAATTTTCTCTCTGATATATAGATGCTAACCCACAGCAAGGGTTGGAGAGATCAGTGGATTGGACAAAGGGTAATGAAGTGAAGATAAGTGGAATTAGAATAGGAAAGATGGTGGAATGAATCAGATATAACTTTCCTATGTACATATATGAATATACCAATGAATCTCACCATCATGCATACCCACAAGACTGGGACCCAAATTAGAATAAAATATATTCCATACTTGCATAAAATATATTAAAATAGATTCTACTGTCATGTGTAACTAAAAAGAACAAATAAAAATTTAGAAAAACAACCCCACAGGTATTGTAAATAATGGACATAATTGCAGTCAAGATTGGCAAAGCAAAGCGCCTCCTCTCCTGCCTTCTTTCTGAGTGATGAAGAGTTATGGGGGAAAGGACAAAACTGGAAAGACTGTTACCTTCCACAATCCTGGGGATTGAAGCTTTCCCTTCCCTCAAAACTGACAGCTGTGAAGTGGCAGGAGTTCATGAGAAAGGAAAAAGAGAACAGTGGGAGCTGACCCAGGTTGGAGAAGCAGGGCCTATGTTTCAGAAGGCTCCAGAGCTATGAGTTTTCTCTTGGTTGTGGTTCCCCCAAAAGCAGATGCTGAGAAAAAAAAACTTGGGAACAATTGCTTTTAGAGGTCATCTCAGAAAGCAAATGAGGGAATGGGGTGGTATGTGATACCATGCAACTGGGTGAGCTAATAAGTACAGCTGCTGTAGACAACTGTGGCTCAATCCTGCTGGAGACCCTCAAAGAGAATGTGCAGAACACAACTCAGAATCATCCCACCCAGGAGAAAGGAAGTTGGGATTTTTATCCATCAAACCTGTCCCCTTCTGTTAAGAGCTGCTCTTGGCTACATTAAGTAAGTCCCCAACATTTCTATACAGAACATGGTCATGAGGTCAGAGAAAGCCTTTAAACAAAGAATCTTGCATTTGAGGTAGGAAGTCACTAGTGTGATATGGAAACCATCCGCCCACGTGAATGAGCTAACAGAATATTGCAGGAGATATTGACAGCATCCACTGCAGTTCCTAGAACCCACTCCACAGGCAGACCCCTCACCTTCCACACCTTTAACCATACTCCTCACCTCCAGATGGCCCTGGTATCCAACTTAACTAGATTTTGTCTGAATGCAAATGGCAGCCAGGGAGGAATGGCTTCCTCACAATGTGCACTGAGCCTCCCCCAACAGTGATCTGGAAGGAAGGAGACCCAACATGTACTGAGTCCCCACTACAGGCTAAGTTCTGTGCATATCTTATTTCATGGTAATGTTCAAAGCAGTCTTATGATGTACTTACGAGAAGGTAACAAGGACCAAAAGCAGAAACCCAGGGAGAGGGGCAGCATCTTAGGTCAGGTTGCTTTGTTCTCACCTAGAAACAAGAAATCAGAATCTGGCTCCATTTCTGTACTTACTCCCCTAGAAGATGAAAAAAAATTACCTTTTCTGTCAGCCCTGCAATTCCCAAGTCTGGCCTATGAATGGAAAATAACTATATTTCACTTTGGGGAGTGGCAGGTACCCAGTCTCAGAACTTCTGGAACAGCTTCTTGGTGCTGGCAGCCATGGTGACCTAAGCACTTTGAAGTCCACTGTCTTATCTTGCTCAGGGGCCTGCATTTGCCGATGTTGCTGATCTGGTTGTCCATGTGGAGGCAAGTAGGTACACGTGCTCAGGAGGGGCCACCTAGGAGACTCCTAGAGGAGACCCTCCCTCCCCACTACCAGGCTGAGGACTCTCCAGTCTCACTGCATCAAACTTCAACCAACTTCCAATTGCCAATTCAACCTACAACCCCCAACTACTGATTGAGCACAAGGCATCAAGCTTTTGACCTCTGGAGAAGATGATTGCTATCTATTGTGCTTTCCATTTTACAAAGGGAAAAACAGAATGCTCCAAGAATAGTCAGTATCCTCCCCACTTCTCCCTTCTCTTTCATCCCAACAGTGTACATCCCTTTCCCCAGCAGTTAGGGGAACCTGTTAACACCCACACCAGATCCTGTATTGTATATATTTGAAAACTGAGACCTGGAGAGGGAGATAAATTTGTCCCTTTCAAACAGCTAGAAAGTAACACAGCCAACACCCCCAATCAAATGTGGTTAACTCCAAAACCTTGCTCCCTTTCCTCCTAATACATGAAGCGAAACCAGTTTTTCTCCTTCAAAGAACATTTCCCTCAGATCAAGAGACTCAAGTTTAGATAACTCCTGGAAAGTTCAGAAATCCCAGTCATTCCAGAGCCTAGGGTGAAATAAACCTGTCTGCCAAGATATCATTTACTAGTATTGAAATAACCACCCGTACCCTGCTTGCATGTAAACAAGTCCTTAATTCCTTAATATGCCCACTGAACACAAAGCCCTTTGCATGACAGGCTGGCTATTTTTGCTGCTTTGAGTTGATCTGAAGAGGGACAGATGCGGAACAAGCCATAGGGCGGAAACCTATATGTTACCTCAGCAACACTTGCCAGGGTTGTGGATTAAAGGAATTCAGTACCTATTAAGTGGACTTTGCCTACAGGAAGATAAAGTTCTAAAGAGTCCATATGACATATGAGGCAGTATTTTCCTAACTGAGGATTGCATTGCACAAAAAAATCAATAATTTTAGCAAGATCACCTGCAGGTAATTTCTCCAGCAAACCACCCTACATGAGCTGGGAGTATCGTTTCATCTCCTGGAAGATATTGATCCCCCATCAAATCTTTTGCCCCACCCAAGAAGTTCCTAGCACCATTGATTGCCATGATTTCATGTTATACCACTGGGCAGTGACCCCAATCACACATAGGTACTTAGTACCTACACCTGCCTGCCCCATGGAAAGCGAGAGTACAAGGTCTAGTCCATCCCTCCAAGACCTCAAGGGACGGAGGGTTCACATTTACTGTGTTAAATTAGACAACTATGAAGGCTCTGGCATGGTGGCTCGCACATACAGGTGCACAGTGAATGCTGCTTCCTTTTCCTTTTCCTTTCCCTTAACAGTCTTTAAGATACTCATATAGGAATTGTCTTGTTGGTTTCTCAGAGACTCTTCAAATCCAGCTTGGAATGAGACAGAATAAAAGCACAATGACTGCCAGGTGTGATGCTGCACACCTGTAATCCCAGCTACTCAGGAGGCTGAGGCAGGAGGATGATAAATTTGAGGCCAACCTGGGAAATTTAGCAAGATCCTGTCTCAAAATAAAAAATACAAAAGGATTGGGGATGGAGTTCAGTGGTAAAGCATGCCTGGGTTCAATCCCCTGTACCAAACAAGAATAAAAGAGAAAAAATACAGGAATTATTAAAGGAAATATATTATTAACTTCATATTTAGTTGAAGAATAGACCACAGTGCCCCATGATTGTTAAGGGCAAGGGCTATGAAGTCAGTTTGGAATTCTGACTCTACCCCTTGGGTATAAATTCACACTTTTCCATGTTGTACTCAGAGTTGAGCCCAATCTCTCATCCTTACTATAAAACCCCATTTCCATAGTCCCTTTACCTATTATGAGAGCCCCTCTAAAGAAAGTCTACCTTACTGCTCTTTAACAATTGTCACAAGTAATGTTTTCTTTAAATATATATAGTTACACACACACACACACACACACACACACACTCCTGATTCTGCTTCTCTGGAGAATCCTGGATGATACAGGAGGCAATAATATATCCCACCTTACTGAGTAGTTATGAATATCATGCTTAGTACTGTGCCTGGCACAAAGGAATAACCACCCTGCATGTCACCTAGTTGAGATCACTTGTCAAGCAGCTGTGAGCTAGAACAAGCCCCCAAGTTCAGGACTTTAACACCACGTTTCAAATCTCCTCTACCTGCTATAGAGTTGTGCCCATCAATCTGAGCATTGCAGAGCCACTCAAGTGAGAGTGTGAATGCACTTTCCAGGCCTCCCTCTTTGTCCAATGCCTGGCTCCCACTGCTCGGTGATGGGGATCCCCCTACAGTCAATCTTATTCCTCTCTATGGGCTGCAGGATTCTTAACGGGGTTCACTTAAGAATCCCCTCAAAACTGCAATTTCGGTTTGGGTTTAAACCAAGTAGGCAGTTCACTTTTCTATCAAGGGTCATTGACCCGTGATGAATAGATAACCAAAATCTAAAGGTAAAAAGGTGCTTAGGATTTTTTTCTTTTTTAAGAATGAGTATATTTTTATCATCATATTTTGGTTTTATATTGATCAGTCAAAGAAGAGAGAGTAGAAAGTGGTAAAGGGGGCCTGAGAAAGAAATGGAATTTTAGAGCCAGGTGGAATGGCACATGCCTATAATCCCAGCAGCTGGGGAGGCTGAGGCAGGAGGATCGCAAGTTCATAGCCAGTTTCAACAACTCAGAGAGGCCCTAAGCAACTAAGTAAGACCCTGTCTCTAAATAATTTTTTTTTAAAAGGGCTGGGGATATGACTCAGTCATTAAGCCTCTGGGTTCAATTCCTGGGACCAAAAAAAAAAAAGAGGGAAAGAAATGGAATTTTAGAATTTGCCATGAAGTAAAACTGTTTATTGCAGTGAAAAAAAAATGTTTATTCTGACAGGAAAGGAATGGGAAGTAGGGCAGGATGATAAATGTACAACCCAATAAAATTTTAAAAAGATAATATTGTCATCATTTGTTCTGAAAAGTACTATTTAAAATAGTATTATTTAAAATCTGAAGCCACATTTTATAGGCAAAATGGAATTACTTTTCATGAGGTAAATATCCATCATGTGACTTCTAAAACACTGCTGCTCAAGATCATTTCTGCATTTTAGAAAATTTTAGTGCCTTAGAATATTGTTTCCTCCACCAGCCTCCTTTGCCAGGCAAATGTCCCTTAACAGCTTAGTTCTGACTCTTTGGGAAAGGCCTTTCCTGACTACCCCAGAAGAGCTGACCACTTCATTCACCTTTCATTTGAGCACTCACAGCACATTTTCCTTCTCTATACTGTGCTCTGTAGCTGACAGGACACACCTACACCCTCCATCTAATCAAGAACTTCCTCACTCTTCTTATTGATCTTTGTCCTGCCCCTAATAACAGCACTGGCACATAGTTGGTGCTCAATATATATGACATGAGAGATCATGGATTGAAGAGTTTCAAAGGAACTCACATGTTAAATAAATTAAGCCAAGGAATTTGAGTCAGAAGCTAGAGGTGTCTCACCACTGCACTGTTTGCTTTCAATGAAGCACTCCAGCAGTGAATCATGACAAAAGTAAAAACCAAACAAGTCACACACCTCTGAGCAAGTCAGGAAACTTGGACCTGATTGACTTGTGATCCCCAGCCCTGTTGCTCTTTACCTCCCTTGGGTTAGCCACACTCTAAGAACAGACGAGTTGCAATGATTTACCCTGTCCCTCAGAACTATGGTTGCAGAAGCTCTGGACAAAGGTTTTTTGATGTAACAATCAAATGCAATGAGAATATCTAGTTTGGATTCTAATTCAGAAAACCCACTATAAACAGACAGTTTTGATACAACTGGATGGATCTGAAAACAGACTGAGTACTAGCAAACATTAGAAGCCACATTCCCCACCTCACACCTTTAAGTTGCTTCCTGGGCCCTTCCCGGCGGCTCCAGTCCCAGCTAAGTCCCTCCTCCAGATCCTCCCACACCCTTCACTTCCACTGCTGATTGTCAGCTTTTCTCAAGGTGTCAGGAACCTGGAGGTGGCAGAAGAATCACTCCAAGGAGTTCTACATCTGCAGCAAAGAGGTGGCTCTATTGAAATAAGCCAGAATATCTGTAGGACAGAGAAGTGCTGAAGCTCAGGCCTAAAGAGGTGAGGGAGAGGTCATTTTCTTCAGGGCAACTCAGCCATCACCATTCAGTCACAGAGGCAAAGCAAGAGCTCTGAACCAGGTTCCAGTGCCCCAGCACTGGTTCCAGCACAGCAAATGAGTCCCTTAGGCAAGTCAAGGACCCTCTCTGGTTCCAGGTTTCCTCAGCTTTAAAGTGAAAAGTTGGGCCTAGAGCTGCTGAAAGCCCTTCCAACTCATCATACTCTGGATCCTGTGCTCTGAAAACCACAGATCCCAGAACAAGCTTGTGTCATCCTCCCCACCAGATGCTGTGAGAGCAGGAAGCTGACCTTCCTCAGCTAGGATGCTCCCCTCTCAGAGTTCATCACTGACTTTCCCAGCATAGATGTCAGGTACCCAACAGAAGACACCAGGTGTCTATAGGGACGCATTTGAGACTCCCTTCACAATGGAAATTTCCTTAAGCTTCTGTAATCCCCACCTGAGGTGATGTGCACACCCAATCTGGGTCTAGGAGAAAACCTGGGCCAAATTGCCCCCCTGAGCATATCACTTCTTCCCCAGCCCTTTCTCCCCCTCTGGTTGACACAGGCTGCCTCTTGTCTGACTCAATTTTCTCTACTAATTAAATGTCACACTTGCAGCTGCAATCACCAAGAGATGCTCTCCAGGCAACTCAGTAGAGAAAGAATAAGATCCTTCCCATTTCTCACCACCCTTAGGAGTCACTGACCATGAAGCTAGTTAAAAACAGTGACAAATAACAGGGCTGCTAGGAGGAAGTGTTAATGGGGCCTATGGACCAAGAAGCAGCAATTATGAGGTATAAGAAAATACTTAAAAGGAAGTAAATAGAGTCCTTCCCAGACAGCACAGAAGCAGGAGAGCCTGTGACCCACATATCTATGATTCATCACACCCATGGTCTTCGCATATAATTCTCTATTTCATAAGAAATATAATGACCAATTATTTTGTAGACATCCTTGTTGGCTGCCACAGTTCTTTTTGAAAAGGGATAGGGTAGAGTAAAAAGATATTTAGAATGTTAGCAGTGGATATCCAAAGATGAAGAATGGGGGTCAAGAACTGCCCTCATGTCAATATAGAAAGTTATTTAAGAAAAAGCATCTCACATCTATGAATCTCCAGGATAACTGGGGAGCAGGAAAGCCATGAGTCAGGCAGCAAAGAAAACAGGAGCATCACAGTTTAAAAAGATTAACTATGAAACTGCTAGACTTCCACAGCACAGTAAATCAGAAGCAATCCATAGATATGGGAATGTGCTCTCAAGTTCTGAATGGCTCCCAATGCAGATCAGATTCCAAGTACAACATACTTGTAAATGGTGGGGCGGATAATGGTTAGAAAGAAGAGGGAGCATGCCTGAGCCTTGAAAATAAGACCACAACTCATAGTGAACATCCCTCCTCTCAAACTGAACTTCAAGTCTTTGGCTGATGTTTTCTTCTATTGAAATGCATACAACCCAGAGTATAGGATTAGTTACTAGGAGGGAGCCCAAACACTCAATTCAACTATTATAGGTAAGAAAACTGAACCTCTGAAACAAAGGAGTGACTTGTTCAAGGTTACACAAAACTAGCAACTTGGATTTCCTGACTGCCTTCCTACCTACTTTGTGCACTGTAACAGAATCCTTTGATTTATAAAGAACCCAACCCTCACCATCCATAGAGGTGGAGTAGCATAGCAACAGCTCCAAACCAGGTTCTAAGGATGGCTACAGTTCTGGAGGCTGGGAAGTCCAAGATCCAGGGGCCCACATAAGTGAAGGCAGGGGTAGCCAGAACTAGCATAGGGGAATTCCCTGCCTCCCACTGGGACAAGCAGGACCCACCTGTCTCCTCTCCATATGCTGTAAAGTTTAATGTATTCATCACATCGTACCACAGATCTCTATCTCCCTGGCCAGGCACAAAGTAGATGATCAATAGATGATCACCTTATTAATGAAATTATAACATATCATAATGAATTATCTTGAAATATTCTCACATCTTTATCTGATTGTTTTGCTTTGTTCTTCACCAACTCATAAAGCCCATTTTCTATCTCATCTTTAAAAATAAAAAAGAGCATTTCCTACTCTATAGTCACTACTTCATTCAAATATTATCTGAGCCCCTGTACCTTAAGCACCATGCTTTGTGATGACTACAGGCTCATTCTTGGACAACTGTTATGGACTGACAGTTTCAATTGTTTTGTTTTTATTTGTTCTAATTATATACATGACAGCAGAATGTATTTCGATTCATAGTACACAAATAGAGCACATTTTTTTTATATTTCTGGTTGTATACAAAGTATATTCACACCGTTTGTGCCTTCATACATGTACCTAATGATGTCCATCTCATTCCACCATCTTTCGCACCTCTTTGCCCCCTCCTTTCCCCTCCTCCCCTTTGCCCTATCCAAAGTTCCTCTGTTCCCTCCCATGTTCCCCCCATCAATTGTTGAAATTGCTGCAACAGAAAAAAAAAAGTTGACACAAAGGCTCTTTTGACAATAACAACTATCCATTCACTGACACTTACTATATAACTGAAAATATATTGGATGATTTACATATAAAATCTTTGTTAGTCTTTACAACATTGAGAGGTGGTTAATATTCCCAAATTACAAATTAGGGAATTGAGGCCAGAGAAGCTAAATAGACTGTCCAAAATTATAAAACAAATGTTTGGGATTAGAATCCAGGTAAATCTGATTCTAGAGCCCATTTTTTTTTTAATCCACACTATACTGAAGATAATATTTGAGGGTAGAAAAGCTCCCTCATGTAGAAAATGTGAATATGAATGAAAAGGAGAATTTTTGAAAAGTGTGAAATGGTCATGAGTTCACCCCTTTACCTGCCCTTGTCCTGTGATCGAACAGTAAGTACAGCCTAGCAGGCAACCAGAAACCTGAGTTTCAATGAGGTTCTAGGAAAAAGGACACTGTAGCTTTAGCAACTAGCAGGCTGGTTCCTAGTGCCCTCTGCTGGTCAGTTGATATAGTTCATGATTTTCCTAAACTCAAATATGAAAAGCCTAAAAATCAAAGATTCTGTCAGGGTCACCCTTGAATAAAGTAGATGAAGCCTGGTTTTCAGTCATTTTCTGTCCCAGTTCATATCCACTGACCTCGCACTCCTTGTGACTGGCATAGAAATAGTGTGCATGTGGGCATCAGGTCTGTGAGATGAAGTAGTCATCACAAATATCAACTAGTTACAGGATGTCAGCCAGGAGGCCTGAGTGGGAATCACAGAGCACCAGGACCCTCCCAACCTTCTGCCTCTGACCTTTCCTGTTAATAGCCAGAAGTACAATTACCATGCCAAACTCTTCCAATATTCAAATGATGTAGTGTTAGTGGCAGCTCAGACTCTGGACTCTCATCCAACAGTAATTTGTTTTCTTTGACTTCAAGATTTTGAATGTCATGCACTGCTTGATGCTGTTTTACTAGAAGTTAACAACTGTACAAGTCAGTATAATGGAAAAGCACTTTGAAGTCTCTACAACCTGACTATATAAGCACAGGGTAGTGGCAGAAGGGTGGGAGATATTGGTGGAATTCCTGGAAGAGGTGATGCTTGAGCCTAGTCTTGACTAGAAGTGAACCAAGTAAAGAGCAATCTGAATATAGGGACATCTCACAGATGTCCAATAAGAATCAAGTCAAAACCCAAATTGGGGAAACAGCCAGCGTTACAATACAAATTCTATTACTGAAAGGAAGACCAAGATGTAGCTGGCAGTCAACAAATAGCCACGGAATCCTGTTAGGGAACTCTAGCTCTCTCTAGAGAGTAGGTTATTGAAGGGGCTGAAAGCCCAAGTGTTATATGACCTCATTCTGCATTTTAGATATATCAACTCAAATGCTCTGATCACTGTGGAGGACAGACGTGAAAGAGTACAACAGCAGACAGGAAACTGAGGAGTTTGTAGTATTAGTACAGCAGAGACTTGAGAAATACTATAGTTTGCAAAAAAAAAAAAAAATTAGTATACCCCTCTTCCATAATTGAGTTCTAAACCTATAAAGAAAAAAGGCAAAATGGTAAACAGACTGGTCATTTTTATTACTGACATAGGCTAGGTAAATAATACAGCTTTCATCAGCGAGCTGTGGTAAACTTCTTTGTATGAACTCCAGGATAATTCAGATTTACTCACCAAACCACCATGATTTCTTCATTTAGGAGCCAAGAGTTATAATAAAACTGACAGCAAAGAGAACTCACACTAACTGCAAACAACACAATCCCAAAAGGAAAACAGTAAATGTATTTAAGTTTCCCTCTCCCTACATTCAATCAAATAAGTCACTGCATATCTCCTTGAGTATGAGGAATAAAGGAACAACAAAGGTCAGGTGTGTTACATTGATCTTTCTTCATGTTGGAAAAAAACACCAGAAGGAGGAAAGCATTCCTCTTTTACCTTTCCCATCTTTTTGTTCTTTTTACCCCCTGGACTTAAAACATTACATCTCCAGAACCAGTACAGTCTATCAAGAAGTTACCCCAAATACCAACTACTATTCCTTTGATTGTCTTTTTGGAATCATTGGAAGCTTTGATTTTGTTCCCAAGATTCTGGATGGGGTCAGAATAATAGATGAATTAAAACAACTTTAAGGCTATAAAATTCCAAGACAAAACTCACTTCACTGCCCATCATAAAGTATGCCTGCCACACAGTCTAACCCGCCATAACAGAGCATCAAGACCCATTAATAAAATACCAGCATACACATGCCCATATCAAAATCTAATTTCCTCTCATTATCAAATTTACAAGGAGAAATTTAAAAATTCCTTTTGCAAATCAAAATTCAAGTCGGGCATAGCGCCACACAACTCTGATCCCAGCAACTGGGGAGACTGAGACAGAATCTCAAAGTTTGAGGCCAGCCTCAACAACTTAATGAGACCCTGTTACAAAAAGATTAAAAGAGGGGGTGGGGCAGACTGGAGATGGGGTTCAATGGTAAAGCACCCCTGGGTTTAATCCCTAGTATTGAAGAAAAAAAAAATCAAGACTAAATTCCCTTGTCTTTAATTAAAAGTCCAAATATCCAACATTCTTAAGTTAAAGGTGAAAAACAATCTTCCTGGAACTGGAATTGTGGCTCAGTGGTAGATCACTTGCCTAGCACGTGTGAGGAACTGGGTTTCATCCTCAGCACCACATAAAAATAAGTAAACAATCTTCTTAAATTCTCATTCTGTTCAATATTAACCAAAGGGGGTCTTGATGATTACACAGAGTTAGGGTCCTTTCAACAGCCATAGCCTGGGCTGACATTTTTGGAAAAGTGATTCTTTTGGGGATGTGGCTCAAGCCGTAGCACGCTTGCCTGGCATGCGTGCGGCCCGGGTTCGATCCTCAGCACCACATACAAACAAAGATGTTGTGTCTGCCGAAAAACTAAAAATAAATAAATAAATATTTAAAAAAAAAAGAAGTTACATTACACATTATCTCCCATGGCTCACTTTTTAAAAAATTGAGATATATCTACACATGCCATTAAAAATCACCCTTTTAAAGTGTACAAGTTGGAAAAGCAATCTATGCTAAGCCTCAGGCTAGCATCATTCTGAATGGAGAAAAATTGAAGGCATTCCCTCTAAAATCTGGAACAAGACAGGGATGCCCTCTCTCACCACTTCTGTTCAACATAGTTCTCGAAACACTGGCCAGAGCAATTAGACAGACGAAAGAAATTAAAGGCATCAAAATAGGAAAAGAAGAACTTAAATTATCACTATTTGCAGATGACATGATTCTATACCTAGCAGACCCAAAAGGGTCTACAAAGAAACTATTAGAGCTAATAAATGAATTCAGCAAAGTGGCAGGATATAAAATCAACACGCATAAATCAAAGGCATTCCTGTATATCAGCGACAAATCCTCTGAAATGGAAATGAGGACAACCACTCCATTCACAATATCTTCAAAAAAAATAAAATACTTGGGAATCAACCTAACAAAAGAGGTGAAAGACTTATACAATGAAAACTACAGAACCCTAAAGAGAGAAATAGAAGAAGATCTTAGAAGATGGAAAAATATACCCTGTTCATGGATAGGCAGAACTAACATCATCAAAATGGCGATATTACCAAAAGTTCTCTATAGGTTTAATGCAATGCCAATCAAAATCCCAACGGCATTTCTTGTAGAAATAGAGAAAGCAATCATGAAATTCATATGGAAAAATAAAAGATCCAGAATAGTAAAAACAATGCTAAGCAGGAAGTGTGAATCAGGCAGTATAGCAATACCAGACTTCAAACTATACTACAGAGCAATAGTAACAAAAACAGCATGGTACTGGTACCAAAACAGGCGGGTGGACCAATGGTACAGAAGAGAGGACACAGAAACCAATCCACAAAACTACAACTATCTTATATTTGATAAAGGGGCTAAAAGCATGCAATGGAGGAAGGATAGCATCTTCAACAAATGGTGCTGGGAAAACTGGAAATCCATATGCAACAAAATGAAACTGAATCCCTTTCTCTCGCCATGCACAAAAGTTAACTCAAAATGGATCAAGGAGCTTGATATCAAATCAGAGACACGCCGTCTGATAGAAGAAAAAGTTGGCTACGATCTACATACTGTGGGGTCGGGCTCCAAATTCCTCAATAGGACACCCATAGCACAAAAGTTAATAACTAGAATCAACAAATGGGACTTACTCAAACTATAAAGTTTTTTCTCAGCAAAAGAAACAATAAGAGAGGTAAATAGGGAGCCTACACCCTGGGAACAAATCTTTACTCCTCACACTTCAGATAGAGCCCTAATATCCAGAGTATACAAAGAACTCAAAAAATTAGACAATAAGAGAACAAACAACCCAATCAACAAATGGGCCAAGGACCTGAACAGACACTTCTCAGAGGAGGACAATCAATCAACAAGTACATGAAAAAATGCTCACCATCTCTAGCAGTCAGAGAAATGCAAATCAAAACCACCCTAAGATACCATCTCACTCCAGTTAGATTGGCAGCCATTATGAAGTCAAACAACAAGTGCTGGCGAGGATGTGGGGAAAAGGGTACACTTGTACATTGCTGGTGGGACTGCAAATTGGTGCAGCCAATTTGGAAAGCAGTATGGAGATTTCTTGGAAAGCTGGGAATGGAGCCACCATTTGACCCAGCTATTCCCCTTCTTGGTCTATTCCCTAAAGACCTAAAAAGAGCATGCTACAGGGACACTGCTACATCGATGTTCATAGCAGCACAATTCATAATAGCAAGACTGTGGAACCAACCTAGATGCCCTTCAATAGACAAATGGATTAAAAAAAAAAGTGGCATTTATACACAATGGAGTATTACTCTGCATTAAAAAAATGACAAAATCATAGAATTTGCAGGGAAATGGATGGCATTAGAGCAGATTATGCTAAGTAAAGCTAGCCAATCCCTAAAAAACAAATGCCAAATGTCTTCTTTGATATAAGGAGAGTAACTAACAACAGAGTAGGGTCGAAGAGCATGAGAAGAAGATTAACATTAAACAGGGATGAGAGGTGGGAGGGAAAGGGAGAGAGAAGGGAAATTGCATGGAAATGGAAGGAGACCCTCAGGGTTATACAAAATTACATACAAGAGGAAGTGAGGGGAAAGGGAAAAATAATACAAGGGGGAGAAATGAATGACAGTAGAGGGGGTAGAGAGAGAAGAGGGGAGGGGAGGGGAGGGGAGGGGGTATAGTAGAGGATAGGAAAGGCAGCAGAATACAACAGACACTAGTATGGCAATATGTAAATCAATGGATGTGTAACTGATGTGATTCTGCAATCTGTATACGGGGTAAAAATGGGAGTTCATAACCCACTTGAATCAAAGTGTGAAATATGATATATCAAGAACTATGTAATGTTTTGAACAACCAACAATAAAAATTAAAAATAAATAAATAAATAAAGTGTACAAGTTGGTCTTAGTATATTCACAAAGTTGTATGACCCTCCACCCTGAACTTCATTTTTACCACCCCAGAAATTCTAAGTCACTTTCCTTTCTCCACCCAGCCTCCAGCAGCTGCTTTCTATGAATTTGCCTGTTATGAACATTTCATATGGTCTACTGTGTCTGGGTTCTTTAGCTTAGCATAATATTCAAGATTCATCCCCACTGTTGCTTGAAAAAGTACTTTTTTCCTTTTATTATTATTATGGATATTCTTTATACCTTTATTTCTATGTGGTGCTGAGGATCGAACCCAGTGCCTCACACATGCGCTCCACCACTGAGCCACAACTCCAGCCCACTTCATCCCTTTTATAGCTGAGTAATATTTCATTGTATGAATAAATCACATTTATCCATTGGACATTTGGGTTTCCACTTCACAGCTATTATAAATGCTGCTGCTGTGAACATATGTATATAGGGGTTTATGTGGTATGTTTTTAGTTTACTATAAACCTAGAGTAGAAGTGCTTGGTCATATGGTAACTTTCTTTTAACTTTATGAGGAATCCTCAAAATGTGTTCCACAGCTGCTGCATCATTTAACATTCATATCAACATGTACCAGAGTTCTAATTTTATCATTTCCTTACCAATACTTGTGATTTTCTCCCTTATTACAGCCATCCTATAGTGTATACAAAGTCCGATCTCAGTGAGATTTTGATTTGCATTTCCTCTCAGTGAGATTTTGATCTGCATTTCCCTAAAATGGCAATGTGAACACCTTCTCATGTGCTTATTGGTCATTTGTGTTTGTTTGGAACAATGTCTATTCCAATCCTTTGCCCATTTTTAAACTGGATTGTCTTTTCTATTATTGACTTATAAAAATTCATCCTATATTTTAGATGAGTCCCTTGTCGGCCATGTGGTTTACAAATAACTTCCCCCCACTCTGTGGGTTGTCTTTTTTATTTTCATGATGGTGTGCTTTGAAACAAAAGTTTTTAATTTTGAGGAAGTCCAATTTACTTCTGTTGTTGTTTATGCTTTGTTTCACTTTTTAATGGAACCAGAGTGAGTTAACTAGATCCACAAGATTATCATCAAACCCCACACCAAATTTAGAAAACGAATCAATCCCTAGCCCCTTTGGTCCTACCAGGTAAAAATGTCTTAGAACCCAAAACTCAGCAATGTCAAAGAAAAATCCTCAGCACAAAATACCAGAGTTCAAATTTAATTCTAGAATCATTTCAGGTATTTTAAATATACCTGTTCAAAATCAAAGTTCATCATTTTGTTTGAAATAATTGTTTAGAAATCAATAATATAAATGAGGATGCAAACTGATATAAAATGACAGGAAAGCAAATGGCAAAACAACTATAGTATTTGTTCCTCTGGCTACTGTAGTGTAATAAATAACAGTTAACCAAAAACACCTTTATTTTTTAGTCTTCAAAAAACAAACTAATTTCTTCTTTTTCCAAGATAATCATGATTAACTTAGAAAAATGGTCATACAATACATCTTCAAAGCATTTCCCTTTAACGGGAAAATTAGCTTTAGAGAATCTAAACATTAAAAGATTTTAAAAAATCTATTTTGTTGTCATTATAAAACAAAATGGAATCTAGCATAAGTCAAGGAAATTCGTTCACACTTCAGGTCCTTCTCCTCCAGGAACCAGCTGCATTGGAGGAAAAAGAGTGTATTAATAATATCACCATGTCATCTAAAAACCCCTATGTATTCCCCATTAATCAAAGCCACCTTTACCTCTTCCCCGCTCCCTCACATCCCCATTCTCTCCAGGTCATCAATATCTGGCTGTAATTCCCAACATTAAAAATTAATACTATGTATCTCAACAATGATTTCTAACAAAATACAAAATTTTTAAAACCCAAGCAAATTAATCTTTAGGCCCAATGCCTTTATAATATCTCAGGCTTTTGGCCCTGACCATCAGAGAATCCCTAGTCTTAGACACTACTGGCCCATGAGCATTTAGTGAAGCAAGCAGCAGTACAAGTTAGTTTTGTAATCCCTGTTCTGCCAAAAGGACTAGCACCTAAATAAAATAGCTTAATGGGTCTTACCATCGTTATATTATTTCCATTTAGCAAAATCTGATCTAATTTAGTAATCCGTCTTCCTTCTGGTGTGATTTCACTAAATGAACAGATAAAATTAGTCATGATAAACAGATAATCAAAGCCAACATTTTGGAAATACATTTCCTCTCTAAAATGGCTGTTCTTGAAGCTGGCATGCACAAAGCCTTGAATTCAATCCCCAGCACGAAAAATGTTAATTTGCACATAAATGAAGGTGAGGTCAGGCAACTATATTAGTAATTTTCAGAGAAAAAAAGATTATCCACTAGGTAATGTACATTCTTCCTCATGGGCAACAGATTAGACTGATTAGCCTAAGATCTACATCCACTTCTTCATAAAAAGAGGCCGAAACTTGGGCTGAGGTGGTAGCTCAGTAGTAGAGTGCTTGCCTTGCACGTGTGAGACACTGAGTTTGATCCTCAGCGCCACATAAAAATAAATATATTGTGTCCATCTACAATTCAAAAAATATTTAAAAAAAAAAAAAAAGGCTGAAACCTGCAATGGAGATCCAACACAACAAAAAACATTTAGCAGCCTCATTCTTTTTCTTTAACATATCTATTACTGCTGATCCCTAGTCATTAAACCGATCTGTAATCACTTCAATTTTAAAAATAGATGGTTATAATTTTTATAAATTAATACCATCAAGCCATAATTTACATTTTGTTATACAGTTAAATGTTCTTATTACTAGTTCTTTAATTTGACCTGAGCTCTAAAATTCCTCTTTTTTAGTATCTTTTACCTTATAGCTCTGTCTATACTAACTTCCTAGCAATTTAGTAAAAATTACATTAAAGCAATAACCCTCTGATCCAATTTTACAAATATCAGTAAATAAAATTTGTTTTTAAGGTAATCCCATAAGTAATTTTTTTTATCATTTTACTGACTCAATCATACTATAATTGCATTTAACTAAAAAGACAGACATTTCCCCTGATTCTTTAATCCTCGATACTACTTACAACTCAGTGACATCTTCCAGCACCATATCTGAAATTTGGAGTTAAGAAAATACATATATCAGGTTGAATTTACTCTGGCTTCTGCTTTTGTTCTGTTTTAATTATGTTTAACACATTGACTCAAATTGAAAAGGCATGTTATTGGTAGGAACTTCGTCTTCTTTCAGTATAACTCTAACAATCAATCCTATCACCAGATTCCCCCAAATAAAATGATTTTTATCATCAGTCAGAAATATACTGAATGTCTATAACTCATACCTGCATTAGTAAATACATTTTAAAAACCTAGGCCACCACCACCACTTTTTGAAAGGATACTGACAAAGTCATCAAATCCTAGAAGTGTTCCAACAATTTCCTTATCACTCTTCATCACAATGTGAATTCGTGATCCTATACACTTGTCCACAAGCTCTGTAGAGAAAACATATTTTATCCATTCATTATTTCAACAAATTTGAAAGAGTGGGAGTGTGGTTCAGTGGTGGAGGCTTGCTGAGCATACCTGAGGACCTAGGTTCAATCCCCAGCACAGAGTGTGCCTACTGGCATGCCTTATTTGTATATTGTGAAAGTTAAACCAGGAAAAATATTCATTCAACAACTTTAGGTCTCATAAAACAAATTTCTGTTCAAACATTACTTAACAGAAAAGTCTTCCGTGATCTCCACTTACCCCTTCTTTGTAGTTATTAATGACTGTAGTTTTATTTACATTACATGATTAATGCAATACACACACACACACACACACACACACACACACACACACCCCATTCTCTCTGACTCTACAGTCCATCAGGCACGAACCATGGTTATTCTTGTTCATAACTCTTTCCGTGTCTGACATATGCGGGGCATTCCAAAAGAGTCTGCCCAATGAAAATGATTCAACCACAGTCACATCCACTAACTCAAACACTCTTCACCAACTACATATTGGAGGAAAGAGGCATAATTATCTTCACCAGAAACTTTCCTGTCATTACCTCCCTCATCCAAAGAAGTCCATCTGTGTTCTGACTGCAACTCGAACATCTCTTTAGTCAGCTTAGCATTATTCTTACTGGCGTGCTGTCCGAAAGCACAGGCTGTGATTTTTTTTTTAATATATTTTTCAGCTGTAGATGGACCTTTATTTTTCGGTGCAGAGAACCAAACCCAGCAAGCGTTCTACTACTGAGCCACAACCCCATCCCCACAAAGGCTGTGACTTAAGTTCACTGTTGAACCCAGATACTGTGTTGCAAACTACTTGATGAATGCGTGACAAAAAGGAGTAGTTTACAGATTCCTCTTTTAAGGTTCGCTGCGGACGGGGGCACCAAGCTCAACCGACCACACAGTTTACAGGGTCTATCTAATCTGTGAACCTTAAATGCCAAGCCGAGAAGCGAAGCGGCTACCCGTGGCACGGTACAGGCGAGTTCACCACAAAGAAAGCCGAGGCCCCTTTCACTAAGTGTACACCTTTTCCAGTGCCGGCTGTGCCTCCGAAACCACGTTAGAGAGCAGCGGCGGCCTGGCGCCCGGAGTCCTGGAGTCCAGACCAGCTGCCGAGCGGGAAAGCGCTCGATACTTTTCCCCCTCGCTCCCAGGTCCTCAACCTCAGCTCCCCGCTCCGACTCCTAGAGGGAAGACGATTACCTAGCGGCAGTAGCTGCGACGGGTTGGTTGTAGCGTTGGCCGCCATGGCTAAGCCGGAAGTGGCCAGCGTCCTTCGACGTTAGAACGGCGACTTTAAAAGAGCGCGCTTCCGCTTTTTTCCGGCGCAGAAGCAGGCCCGACCAATCGGAGGCCGAGTGTACGATCTGCACAGTCCACGTGTATCGACCCGCTTTGTTTTTTTACAGAGTGGGATTCAGTGAAATAATTCCTTTCTCTGAATATTCAGCCATTTCGACGGATGCCCTTCGTGCCCTCGAAGTTTCAGAAAAACGTTAAAGGTATTTTGCTTCGTGAATAAATCCTTCCCTCAATCCGGAGGACTACAAAATACGTAGACCATTGTGGCGCCTTATTTCCCCCTAGAAAGTTGCATCTTATCTCAAGCCAGTATCTTTCTTCAGAACAATAAAATAAATTCAAATTTCCCGTCTCTAAGTCTGTTCTATAGTTTTCGCAAAAACTACTTTAAAAAAAAAAAGTGGGCGGGGGGCGGATTTAACCCGGGAGCGCTTTACCACTGAGCCACATCTCCAGCTGTTTTTTCTTTTTTGTTGTTGTTGTGGTTTTTTGTGGTTTTTTTTTTTTTTTTTTTTTTTTGAGACAGGGCCTCGCCAAATTGATAAGACTTGAACTTGTGATCCTTCTGTCTCAGTCTCCAGAGTCACTGGGATTGCAAGGCCTGTGCCACTGCGCCAGGCACTACTCATTTTCTTAAGGAATCTGCTGCTTCTAAATCCAGAGGATTGAAAATCCACAACTAACTTACAAAGACTTTCTATACTGGGACTTCTTAATTTTTTTTTTCCTAAGGTCTTACTAGTTTTGTTATATCTAGGCGTCTAACATGGGCTTTTCCATTCAGTATTTCTTCACCAAATAATTATTGTCTGACGGGCAACCACCAAATGTCAGTCACTCTATATGTCAATGTCATCACACTTAGAAAAGCATGCTTTTTCACTTCTGTTTTAAAAGTATAGAAAGCAAACAAATTCTTAGTCCATTTTACATTCGTATTCCGGGAACTTAAAGCTAAACAGTATAAATGAAATGTCACAAAAAAAATAAGTCCTGCAATAAATACTTGATAAATATTCATTTCCTTCATGGAACACAATGTATTTGTTGAATACTGTTTGACCAGCAACTTGCTTAGTACAAAGTAATGTACAGAACAAAAAGGGTCTTCTGCTCTTTTTTTTTTTAATGTTCAAAACATTTATGAAACCAGTTGAGTTTGACATATAATTTCAACAAATAAAGTATTTAACGATAAATTGTGGTATACAGTGCACTGCAGCTAGAAAAAAAAGCTTATTTACAACTTAAGGAACAAAGTTTTTTAAATTAAATATAGATTTTAGAAATGCATTCATTATGTAGTACTACCATAATGAAAATGGATTTTCCCAGAATCATGTAAGTATCCAGTGAAATTACGAGGTGAACTTTATTTTTTTCCAATTATATTTGTAAAATCTAATATGTTTACTTGCTTGTGAGTCTTTACCTGTCTGATCTTTACAGCTTTGGTGATTAACTTCTCAGTGCCTCTTTTCTTTTACCTTCTTCTATTCTTGCTTAAGGATGAATGGAGGAGAAAGACAAGTACAAACTTTATGTACAAGGCACCATGAATAATAAAACCAAAAAACCTCTTTATACCTTCAGAGATCCTGGAGAACTCAACTTGTTTCTAAATTTCAACAAATCTGTCTTTTTCCCCACCCCAATCCATAAATATCAAGCACCTACTAGGTACCAGAATACTTAACAAATACACTTCTAACCTTTACAAACATCTTTTGAGACAAGTATGACGAGATTCCTTGTACTCAAATAATTGTCCCTCAGCCAAAGGAATTGACAGAAGTCTAGTCTCAGAGTGTGTATAAAAGTTAAACATGCAAAATAGGGGCAAGAGCAATATTCCAAATAGAGTGGCATGTACCTACCCCCATACCTCTCCTGCTGTGTTTTTATTAAAATCTTACATACTTCCTCTAAGTTTATCATAAAACCCTTCCATTCCCAAATATATTTCCATAATAGTGGTCTTCAGTGATTTTATTTTAATGTACTTTATGATCCCCTTCCCCCACTTCAGGTAAAATCTTGTACATCCTTCAAGACCCTTATCAAATATGATCACCTCTGACTCTTGTAGACTTAGTGGACTCTTTCATTGTTTGGCAGCAATACTAATAGCTATCAGAATGTTTTCAGTGATTTTCTTATAATTATTAACAAGGCTATCTCTCCCTAAAAGACTAAGTTCCTTGAGGCAAAGAATATTGTAAAGCAGTAGTGTGTAGTGTTTAAATCCATTGACTGATTCAAACTCCAGCTCCACCATGATTCCTTGTAATTATTTGACATGGGCAAGTTGCTTAACCTTTTTAAGTCTCAATTTACCCACTTGGGGAAAAAAGGGATAATAGTACCTATTTATGAAATTACTATGAAGATTAAATGAGGGCTGGGGTTGTGGCTCAGTGGTAGAGTGCTCGCCTATCACATATGAGACACTGGGTTCAATCCTTAGCACCATATAAAAAGATAAATAATTAAGGTGTCCAAAAATTTTTTTTAAAGATTAAATGAGATAGTTCATGAAAAAGGTTAGCATAGGACCTGGAAAATAGCAAACCTATTAAATTTGAGCTACTATTATTTACCTTTGTTTCCCTAACATGATTGTTGGCTTAGAGTAGGGTCTACACAATTAGCTGGTTTAAAATTCATCTTATTTTATAACCAGACATAAATCACTTTAAGGCAGCAATATCCTGTTTGATGCACTATGCCTAACACAATTCCAGTATACTGTAGTTCCCAATGAATGTTTATTAAATTCTTTTTCATTCATACCCATCAATATTCTACTTAATCTCCATAAGGTTCTAAACACAATGTTATGCTCTTTGTTTGTGAAGCCCTATTCTTTCTCTGGTTTTTCTTTTCCATCCTTATTTCTATTTTATTTTCACCAAACCATACTGAGAGTATGGATCAAATTCAAGGCATTGTCATTACTAGATATGAGTATAAAAATCAGAAAAGCGTACTTTAAGAGGCCATGCAAGGTGATGCACAACCGTAATCCTAGTAATGCAGGAGGCTGAGGAAGCAAGATCACAAGTTTGAGGTCAGCCTGGGCAACTTGTGAGACCCTGTCTTAAAACAACAACAACAACAACAAAAATTAGGGATGTAGCTCATTAGTAGAGTGCCTCTGGGATCAATCCCTGGTACTGGGAAGGAAGGAAGGAAGGAAGGAAGGAAGGAGGAAGGGAAAAAAGGAAAGAAGGAAGGAAGGAAGGAAGGAAGTCATTGCTCTGAATTTTCCATTATAAGAACAAAATGAATGTTAGCAATTTTCAATGCCACTAAAGAATAAAGAAAGTCTCTTTAGACTGAAAAATACGTCACATATAGTTCAATTACACAATAGAGTTAATAAGGACTACAGAATGGTAGTGGTTTTATTTATTGTATTCTTTTTGAGGCAAGATCTCAAAAAAGAAACAACAGGCCAATTCCAGATGGAATTTTAATGAACTTGAAAATGTCATATTTCTATTGCTCAAGGTTTTTTTTTCCTTTAGTTCTTTTTTTGCAGAGCAGACATAAATAGGACTTATAATTCATCATAAAGTGTATGTAATTTGAAGAGGCTCTCCAATGTATTATGTGTTCAGAAAGGTATTTCTAATTTATTTTCCCTGGAGCTGAATGTCATTGTGTAAATATAACCAAAAGTCTCCTTTCACAAAAGTAATCAATTATCTCAAATTGGTGTTTCCAGTCTTGATAATCTACTTCTAATACTTTTTAAAACAGAGGAGAAATTTATGTTATTTTCCTAGTAGATATTTGTCCTTTGTGGGGAATATCCTGTTAATAAATTTATTCAACGTTAATAAATTTATTCAACGTTAATAGAACTCGTTTAAAAACTAATGTAGACCAGTGGCTTGGGAGACTGAGACGGGGGATTGCAGGTACAAAATCAGCCTCAGGGGCTGGGGTTGTGGCTCAGTGGGAGAGCGCTTGCCTTGCATGTGTGAGGCACTGGGTTCAATCCTCAGCGCTACATAAATATAAATAAATAAAATAAGGGTATTGCATCCTTATACAACTAAAAAAAAAATTTAAAAAAAAACAGCCTCAACAACTTAGCAAGGTCCTAAGCAACTTAGTGAAACCCTATCTCAAAAAAAAAAAAAAAAAAGAATTTTTTTAATTTGTTACTGTTGTGATATCTGGTACCATTTTTTAAAATCAGTTTCTCAGTCATCATCTATAAAGAAAACATCCTGTCTCAAAGTTTTTAAAAAAGGACTGGGAATGTTGCTCAGTGGTTAGGTGCCTCTGGGTTCAATCCCTGGTACCAATAAATAAATAATTAAACTAACGTAGACCTGCTTGGGACTTATGCTGGCAGAGTAGAGCCCACGGTGCTGTGATGTTGCTCCTGGAAAGCAAGCCAGCAGTTCCTGATGGAGCTGACCAGATTCTTCCAAAGTGTCAGTTGTCCCTCGGCGCATACATTGAAGAAATGTGAAGGTGGAACTAAACCTGCACTGAGGAAAGGTTCTGTGGAAGACAATTGAGCTGTCAGACAAATGTCTGTTAAGATCTATGAATGGAAAAAAGATCGGCATTGTGGTAGACTCCAAAGAAGTGAATAAAGTTTCAGATGGCTTATTCAAACCTATTGAGGGCTAACATGGATAGGGTGCAGAGAAAACCAGCAAGAGCAAGAAGAGCAAAGCAGCACAGTGAAGGGCACTGAATTCTCAGCTTTTGCCAACTAACCAATGAATTGCTATTTTTCCTTTGGTTTTTTACTTTTGGCCACAAAGCTAGGCTTCTGGTTCCCTTACCCATAACTGTATTTGTGTGAGATTCAGGTTGTTTGGGGAGAGAAGGGTTGCAGTCAGTTTACAGGGTAATTGTGGTAAGACAACAGTTTATTTCAGATCTGTGCTGCCTGGATATGTATCCCTGGATTATAATTTTTATAAGTCTCTATAGTCACCTCTGTGAAGAACAGTGTCATTAAACACTTGTTTATCAGCAAAATGATAATAATGTAAAGAAGTTGTTAT